TTATTTTATGTTGGTAGATCTGGTCTGTCCAGATGGATTTTGAAACATGTTAAGCTTTATCAGAGACAGATTATTTTAAAGCACCTGTTTCCTTTACTAGTTCTGCATCCAGGAGACAGGTGATCAATTATTAAAAGCATCTTAATAGCAATCGATGTTTACATTAAAGTCTTTTTTGTAGCACCCAGATGCTTTTGGGTCTGGGGGTGCAAATACCTTTTAGCTGTTACAGTTTCTTACTTGATGATCTCTGGACTCCGTTTCTGTGGTGGTCCTGTACCATTAGCTGAACAGTGAGTTAGAACAGGGAACTGGGAAGAGAAAAGCTTGTGGTGCATGAGAACTTATTTTTTTGGAATTAGGGACAAGGCAAAGATCAGGGCCCTGTCTGTATGCACGTGAAAAACACAGGTAGTAATTCTAAAGGTGCAATTAAATCTGGTGAGGTAGGTAAGGCTGACCTCTGTACCTGACAATAAAGGAGAGGTGACATCCCAAAACTCCCAGGACTGAGTCAGTGGCTCTGGTGTCCAGAAGGAAAGGAATGGATCGCTTCCCTGCTGTGTTCTGGGTTCCCTGCCATGTCTGTAGCCAAGCCTAGGTCTGTTGAAGGTCTTAGCTTGATGTACCCATGCATCTTGGCGCCTGGGGACAGTCAGCTGTCTCGTTGTCTTTCTAGACAGCACTTTTAACAAGGCTGTTGATGGCCTGGCAGGGCATTCGCTAGCCCATGGCCTTTTTCCTCACTTAAAACAGGGACCCAACAGCTTTTGGGAGTCAGTGAGTGCCAGCACTTGGCAATTTTGTTTTCAGGCTTTTATCTCTTCCCTGGCACACCTTAAATGCCACAGATGACTCTTTTGCCTCTGGGGGTCAGGAGCCTTGCTCTCTAGATGCTTAAGTTTTAGTTGGGGAGGTCTGGGGAACAAGAGACGGATTTTACTCTGTGTCCTGAATTTTTTCCTGATGATTGATGGCTTAAGGACAGCTTTTGGAAGATCTGCCAGTAGGCAGACTATAAACCGATCCTTTTGGAAGACTTGTCTGAGGCTATAAGCTGAGTTTTGGCTTAAGAGCCATCCTGACTACTGTAAATTTATTTGTATGGATCTTAGCTGCTTCCAGACCCATCTGTGATTCTCAAGGCAGTTTGAGAAGGGGTGGGTGGAGTTAAGGTGAGTAAGGGTGAGTTGTAGAAACAGCCCAAGCCCGCCCATTTGAGCCCACCCACTTCCACTGCCAGTGGAAGTCAGACAGAAAAGGTTTCACATGGCAGATACAGAAGTGGGGAAGGAGAAGTGTTTAGAGCTTTAGCAGAAAACTTGGGGATAAAGTCATTCTTTTATTTGTCCATTCACTGGCAGAAGTTCCCATGAAGCTGTTATGTGGCCAGATTTATCAGTACCTACCCCTATCTGCCAATGTAAGTGGTAAATGTATCTGCCCCTTTGTCTCATGGCTGTAGCCAAGAGAAAAATAAAAAATTGAAATAACAAACCAAGATCAGATTCCAATCTCAGGCATCCCCAAAGAATGGAGAGAGATCTAAGAATCAGCTCAAGTTCCTGTCCTCTTCGTCAAGGGATGGGAAGGGCTGCAGCTGTGCTGGAGTTGGTCCACGGTTGGACCTTAGACAGCATTTACCCCCTTGTCAGGAGCAAAAATGTGCCTGCCATTGCCAGCACAGCCTGAGGACAACCCCTGGGGTGTCCTTCACAAAGAATATAGCTCAGACTACAGCTGCAAGAATGGCAGACTCACTACGGTGACGGCAGCAGTAGCTGTGTGGGGGTCCAGCGGAGGTGGCGAGGGATGCATGCACACTCACGGTCTCCTGGTCTTGCTGGATGGGGGAGGAGGCGGCAGGTGGCAGCGGTCACGGTGTTCAGTGGTGTATCAGAGTCACGGCACCAAATGTTGGTTAAACAGTGCTGCTCATGGCTGGCTATTGCCTGCAGCAGCCATGCCTGCAGAGGAGAGTGCTGATCGGAAGAATCACAAGCCATGGTTACCTTTTTTGAGCTTTATTGGGAGAGAGGGGAGAGAGAGGGGGAGAGAGGGAGAGGGAGAGGGAGGGGGAGAGAGAGAGGGAGAGAGGGAGAGGGA